TACATGTCATGGGCCACAGAATTTGAGGGATACCCTTTTCCCAATTGCATATATCTGTCCCACCAAGTCAGGCAGGAAGGATATGCTGTGGGTCCTGTCATTCCCCCTTCCAAGTGAGGTTAGCTCGTCTCTGAAAACCTTGAGAAAGGTCTTTAAAACCTGAATTTTTTTTTGGGGGGGGGGCTGCAAGATGGCTGCATGTTAAGTGATGTTTGTTCTTTTTTTATCTCGGGTTTTATATTTCACTGCTTTCTTTATGTGTTTATTTTATTTGTTTTTAGGTTGTTATGGAGTTAACAGTTGCTGTAAACGGCCCAGAATCATGTATTTGTGAGATGGACGGCTATATAAATATGCTAAATAAACACATGAATGTAATTGTGTAAACATGAAAGGATAGGTAACAACTCGTAAGGCTGTATGTTTTTTTTCTGCTCTCGGCACAAAACACGTAGAACAGCTCCTTCAACTCCCGCCCTCCGCCCACTGCATAAAGAGCGCCACGCCCCCTCGCCTCTGTAGCCCCACCCCTTGACACAGCCGGTCGTTTGTTTTTTTTGTTCCGTTCCTCGCGGCAGCGCTGCGGCGTGACGTCACGCGCTGTAACGTAACCCCTTTCATCAGGGCTGCAGCGACAACAACAAGGAAGTGTTGAGCGAAGAGGGTCGCCGCCGTTGCTAAAGCTAACGAGTCGCCTGAACCTTTCGTAGTCGGGTGAACCGTCGTTCTCGTTCATTCGTTTGCAGCGCCGCCATCATGAACAGCAAAGGCAAGAGGCTGATTTCCTCCTCCTCCTTCCTCTTCTCCCCTCCCCCCGCACAACCCCACCCAACCGCCTCACCTTTAGCAGGGTCGCTGCTCCTTTAAGGCTATCGCCGCAGTGTTGTTATGTGCGGGCCTAGTCAATGACTGGCGGCAGCCCTGACCAATAGAAAGCCGGGCGAAGTGGAGGGTGGAAGGCAATGGGGGAAGGGCTCAGGTTAGGTGGCTATGACGTAACCTTCCTTGGCAGGTTGTTAACCCTTTGGCTGCTGCCGTCGGAACGGGTGGTTAGTGGGCCAAAAGAGCCCTCTCCTTTCCACGGATTCCGAGATGCTCGCTGGAAACACGCGAGTCGGGAGGGCACCGTAGGGTGAAAGGTTTTTAATGGGGGGCACCGTTTCCCTGGGAATGGAGCCCCTAGTGCCACATGCACGTGAAAACACATTTGGGAGAAGGGTAGAATTTGCGGGGGAGCTTTGGGAGGTGGGGTGGATCGCAGCTTTGACAAGTAGGAAATCCTTTGAAGTCGGAGCTTTTGCGATGGGAGCTCCACTTTTGGCACCGGACCGCAATGGGCAGGCATGGGGCCTAATACCGCTATGCTCCCTGCCTGTTAGTTCTGAAAAGGATTTAGATGCCAAAAGTTCTTCTGCGGTTCCACAACTGATAAGTCAACCATTCTTCTGTATACACAATTCCCTGATGTTACATTTGGGATGCTTTGAAATTTACACACAACCCCCAGGGGTCAAGGGGGGCATCATTTGCTCCTATCATAAGGCTGGCTCTGTCTGATAACATTCCTTATTTCCTTTGCAAATTTAAATAACAGAGGCCAGGGTGGACAGAGGGTGGATGGAATGATAACTAAAGAGAAATTGATCCTCAGGGAGGGGTTTGTTCAATACCAAGAGTGTGCCCTCTGCCCCTAGAGTAAAATGGGAAATGAATGAACAATGAACCACAGAATGCAGAAACAAATGGCAAAATTGCAAGAAAGGTTTGCATTCGTTTCTCCGTTCGCTCCTTATTAGGTGTTGCCCTGCATTTAATTCATTACTTCCTGGATGAGAGTTGTAATTTGGTTGACAGGTCCTAAAAGGAAGGAATAAAAGTGGCAGGATCATCCCTGTATAGTTCAGGGCATGTAAGAGTTGGTTAAAACAGTACGCCAATAGTCTGGTCCTTTTCAGGAAGCAAACCTGACCAGACTTAGAGTTGCATTTGAATTGGTGGTATATCCAAGCTTACAGTTTTACTTCCCATGAAATTAAAAAAAAAATACAACTGATTTGGTAGGTTTCATAGTTCAAACATTGCTCTAAATGGGATAGCCTGCATCTGTTTAAATCCAGCACATTCCAAAATGAAATGTGTACAGTTTGAGACTTTTCTTAAAATATGCATTGTGGCGGTATAAGCTATTGAGAATAAAAGTACAAAACGTACTTTTACGTTTAAATTCTGAGTAATCTTAAAGCATTATGGCCTCTAGAGTTGCTCAGAATATGAACTATTTGGCCTGAAATGACTCTGAGTCACAAAGCTTATTAAATAGTTCATAGTAAATGGGGTTACCCCAGCAGAATTCATTTAGCTTATAAATTGTTATAAATTGATGTTATTAACTTTATATGTCATTTACTTATTTCTCATTGCTTCCTATGGCTTTTTTCAGTACATTATTGCTTAATTGCTACCTACTACCGAATATCAGTTCAACTCCTTTAAACCACAAAACAGTCTGACTACTTGAGCATACCATCCAAATGAAAGCTATATGCTCAGGGATGGCCAACCTAATGAGTGATCCCACATAAAATTTCAAGTATAGGAAACTGGAGAGTAATGTTTAGTTTCTTGTAAAATCTAGCTCCTTATAGCTGAATCCCGCCTATGGTTCCTTTGATTGTGTTTGTGGCAGGCCAGAATGAGGCATTTGAACAGTTTTAACTACTATGGCAATAGCAAAAGATAGCCAGTTTATTTGTGGGTGGGTGCTGGTGGTAGAACCCTAAAATCTGGGTAAAGGTGCTTTTTGTGCTTTTTGTGCAGTACTATATATATTGGAAGAAATACCCATGCACCCTTACAACTATCAAGCAAGCAACTCATTGGTTTTGCTTGCTTGTTAGTTAAATCAATGGATTTAAAATAGATTTGGTATCCAATGGAGAGAATGGTTAAGCAATTAATTTCTTCTGAAAAATATTTATGGTGCCCATGAGATGGCACTGTCCATTTAAAAATACAATTGTAAAAACACAATTATTGAATACCTTTATTCTTAGTGGGAAAGCTGGTTTGAATGATATCACCTGGATCTCGTCGCAGAAGTTTTGTATATTAAAGAACAAAAACACCCGTTTGGCTCTTTTGCTGTTCAGATATAATTTTTTGAAGCCTTTTCTTTCTTTCAGATAAAGCTACCAAAGGACGTTTTTTTCTTTATTTCATAAACTTCCAGGTCCTTTTACAGGAAAGACAATTGTCCTGACATTGATTAATTTCTTCTCTTAGGTCAATACCCTACACAGCCTTCCTATCCAGTTCAATCTCCTGGTAACCCGTCTGTGTTCCCACAGACCATACAACTTCCTCAGGCTCCACCTTATTCTGATGCCCCTCCTGCCTATTCAGAAGTATGTACTCCAATCACTTTCTGTTGTAAGAAATAAGATAAGATTTTCTGGATCAGATCAAAAACATCTTTTCACTTATTAAAATGACAACTGTGATTGATAATTGATGAACAAGATAGATTACTGTCATACCATCTGATTTAGTGACAAGAATTTTCTCTAGGTGGTTTCCAATTATTTTGGAGGTAGTTTTGCCAAATGTTTACATTGTTTGAGTTGTGATTTCATCATATGCAAATTATAGATCTGCCCTGAGCTCGTCATTATAAACCAGGGTCAGCATGATGATCAAGATACCAATTGATGCCAAAAGCAGAAGTATGTAACTTCAGCTTTAGTTGAATGTAAATGAAAAGAAAATTTTATACTGAACCTCTTTCACTTTCCAAACTGCAGCATCTGGCACTTAAGATCAGTTGTGGCCTTTGGTTCAGATACTCTTTTAAGGCAAAAGTTTTACGGGGCAAAGGACAAATGAGAGAAAGTTATAAAACTTGTATGTCCTGTTGTGAACTTCCCAGAGACATCTAGCCATTTATTTATTTACAGAAGCTTATTTCCATTATCAGTGGCAAAACATCTTCCTAAGTAGAACAAAAACTTTGAGAAGGAAAATTTCTAAGTATATAGCCATAAGGAATGCTTTATGTGTTCTTTCTTCCTCAGCTGTACCGCCCAAGTTTTGTACATCCTGGAGCTGCCACTGTACCTACCATGTCTGCAGCTTATCCTGGTGCTTCACTGTACCTTCCTATGGCTCAATCTGTAGCTATGGGGCCAATGGGCTCTTCAGTTCCAGTGGCTTTTTATCCTGTTGGCCCTGTCTATCCTCCTGGATCTGCTGTACTTGTGGAAGGTGGCTTTGATGCTGGAGCAAGGTTTGCAACTAATGCTCCTGGCAATATCCCTGTAAGTAGGCACAGAATATTGTATTTGCTATCTGTGATAGAGGATTATGAAAGCAGTCCCCCTCCCTATCTTTCATGGTAATAATGGTATATTACCAAGATGCAAATGAAATCATTTCCCCTCTAGATTTCACAATTGTAAATGCAAAGTATCTGCAAGGACTTTAAAGATTTTCAGCCTCAGGTATTAATGTGATATAAACTGTGGGATGAGACAGGGAAAAGGCTTGCGAGGGTCCAGTGTCACTTATGCTATTATCACTGTAGACATTAGTGAGAATGATAACAACATAAATAAATTTCCTTGAGCTCAAGGTGACACTGGAGCTTTTCTAAGGATGCTGTGATCTTCTTGTAGTTATTTCATCTTTATTGAGGAATTACCCTTCTGAAAGAATAGCCTTCTTGCTTTGCAAACCTAACTCATCTACAAAATTGTCAGGGGGCAAGTTAAAAAAAAATCCTAGCCTGTTATAATTTAGTCACCCAACTATACAGTTTGGGAGTGGGGGGGAGAAGAATCTAGTTAGTGTAACTCATGCATCTTGGAAGCCATGCAAGAAGCTTGCGATTTTTGCAGCCCAGCCTGGCAGCCTCTGTCGAGTCTGTGGTCTGCACTTTGTTAGCCTTGTCATATGGCATCCCTCTAATATGTTGCTGTTGTTCTCTTTCAGCCTCCTCCTCCTGGCTGTCCTCCCAATGCAGCCCAGCTGGCTGTCATGCAGGGTGCCAATGTGCTAGTGACGCAACGGAAGGGCAACTTCTTCATGGGGGGCTCCGATGGTGGCTACACCATCTGGTGAAGGAAGGGGGGGGGCTACATTGGTGTAAAGGAACGACATCACATACTGTCAGCACTTCTCACAATGTAACCGCTTTAGTCGTATTAACCTGGAGTTGCAATTTAGACACATGATGATGCGGGGTGTCTTCCTGGTGCCCTGACCCTTCAGGCACTTTTTCTTTTTTTTTTTAAAAAAAAGCAAATTTTAAAATACAAAACCATGCAATGGTAGGAGTGCCTCTCTTAAACCTTGGGGGTTAAATTGTGAAATGAATGTGAGCTAAGCTATCCCTCAGATTTCCCTTTAGTTCCACCAGAGAGTGCTTTTCACTGCAGCTCTCTTTCTCTGTGTCTGGCTTTTATTAATCAACTATATATAAAAATGGGGTTGGGGTTGGGGATGAGAAACGGTTGGGGGAGGGAGGAACAGAAGTTGGAAGAAAACTGGCTTCCACGTATCAAACGTACCAAGCTTGCAGATCAGATATACCTGTTGCCAATGACTAGGGCTAAGACCCATCTTTCCTTTTCCTTAGAATCAATGGTGCTGGGGAGAAAGATAGTCAGACATAATGTTTTTTTTTTGGGGGGGGGCATCTGTGCTAGATGCCTATTGGAAGAGTATGATTGGGGGGGGCTCAGTTTTCCATTTCAGAACCCCTCGGTTGGTTCCTTCTACTCACCTTTGCTCTCTGTTCCTTTGCTAGGAAAGTATGCAGCTAGAGCGATGTCCCAGGATGTCCTTTTTTATATATTCTTAAGTGATCTTGGACTCCTTTGCACATTAAAAATCTAACTGAAGCCATGTTTTGGTGCCAGAAATACAACATTTCATTAAATGCTTCCTGTATGTTTCAACAAACAAAACAAAAGAGCTTAAAATGAAACCATTTTTTAAAAAAAGGGTGTGGGGGAGGGAAGCAACCCAGTGTCGTAATAACAAAAACTCTTTAAGTGGAATGTTATTCAGGCTAGAGAGACAAAAAAAAAGTCTGGTAGATCAATCAGTGTGCAAGTTTGCTGGATTGATGGGGTTGTTTTGTTTTTGTTTTTTTAGACGCAAACATTTAAAAAAGTGACTTGGGTACAATGAAGTCTTATTAGGATTAAGAAGAATATTTCAGGGATCCTCAATCTTTTGTTGTTGTTGTTGCTTTTGTTTTTATGAATTAAAAAAATTATCAGATTTGGTGAATATATTTTATCTTAATTTTCTGTGTGTTGTATGTGTCATGGTCATCCATACAGCTGACTGTTAATGGAAGGTTGGGATTCTAGGTCTCTCTGTAAACACTGTGGTGCACTTAACTTGTGGACTTTTTATACTAAAAACTAGTAGAATAAAGGCTATTTTGAAAATTTGAATAAAGGTTTTGAGGTTTGAGGTTTTATTTGCATTTGTAGGCCGCCCTTTTCCCTGAGGGGACTCAGGGCGGCTCACAGAAAAGCAGGGAAGGGGGAAATACAACATTGAGACAACAACACATAATAAAATAATGAGCAACATGCATACAACATTCGGGCGGGGTAGGAATCCTTATCCCCAGGCCTGACGGGCGAGCCAGTTCTTCAAGGCTGTNCAACCCCCAGTCCGTGGACTGGCACCAGGCCATGGCATGCCAAAAAACGGGCTACGCAAACAAGCAAAGCCCCATCTGTGGGCTGCAGACAACACGCGAAACCACACACAGACACAGACACACACACACACAGACACACACACACACCGTCCACAGAAAAACATCTCTCCATAGAACCAGTCCCTGGTGCCCAAAAGGTTGGGGGCCACTAGTCTAAAATAAGAGAAAACAGAATACAATATGTTTGACAACATTACAAAATGGATGATCTTGGGAAAACAGGGAAGAATTCAGAAGCAGTTGAGCATGGAAGGCAATTCCAGGATTCAAAAGGATTTTATAAATATCCTCTATTATATTCCATAATGCCAGTTCCTGATTAATGATTCATATATACAAAAAACAAAATTAAAAAAGCAGTAAGATTTTTCCATAACAAACTGCTTCAAACACAAACAGATAAACGGCATAATTAAATGGTTCCCCATAAATGGGAGAAAAGTCTCATTACATGCTGGGGAAGGAGTTTTTTCCCCCTTATATACAGTATATATTTTCTCTGTGCAATATGTTTTATATATGAACTTTAATGTGTGAAATCCCTATCCAAAGTGATCATCTCATCATGTAAATTTTCCTTAAGTTTCTCATTCTTACAGAATAGAAATTAATCCTCTTTCTTACTTTTTCCATTCTCCAAGTAATCATTTAACTTATTCTAGAAAAGCATCATTGAACTGCAATTATTAATTGTATTAGTTTTTCCAGTAAATGAATGCAACGAAATTGCAACTAGCTTAAATGGAGGACTTCCTTGAGGAGTCAGTGTGAGTAAATGGTCCAGAAATCACAACTGTATAAGTAGGCTATCAGCTATTCTATAATAGCACTGTTTATGGTGATGTTCCATTTTAGAAAAGTACTTCTGAGGCAGAGGCCTCAGAAGGACAAATTTCTTTCAAAGATTGCCAGTTTCTGACTTATAATAGATAGAACTCATATTATTCAATTCACATATAATATAAATATTGCCACCTGCATGGTATTATACTGATGTGAGGCAGATGGACTGGAGGAAAAAAATGATTTAATAATTATAGAAAACTAGATTTTGGAAAATGTGGCTTCCTTCCTTCCTTCCTTCCTTCCTTCCTTCCTTCCTTCCTTCCTTCCTTCCTTCTGTTGCTTTTGAGCTTATTTCAGAGGGACCTCTCTGATGAGGTCCTGGGGGAAAATGCCTTTCTGCAGCATATCTTGATTTTCCTTCCAGTCACTTTCTTTTACTCCCATCCAAAATCCTTTTTCCTGGAAAAGAAAACAAGTAAACAAACTTCAGTCAGAGATTTTCCATAAGCACACTCCTGTTCATTATAATTTAGAAATTTGGAAAGGTGACTTGAATCCTTATGCATAGAAAATAAGTCTTCAAAGATGCTAAATGTAGGGCATTACAAGTGATAGTCATCATTATGCTAACAGTGCAATGTTTATAAGGGTTGAGTAGTCCCTGCAGTTTTCTTAGCAACATTTGAAAGTGGCTTGTCCTTGTCTCCTTCCAAGGGCTGAGAGAGAGGGACTGGCCCAAAAGCATTTGGCAGTCTTTGTGTCTATGGTGGGAGTATAATTCACGGTCTCCCAGTTTCTAGCCTGGTGTTACACACACACACACACAGAGACACACACAGACACACACACACACACCAGGTAGTCCTCAACTTACGACCACAATTGAGCCCAACATTTATGTTGCTAAGTGAGAAATGGGTTAAGTGAGTATCGCCCCATTTTCTTNTGGCAGAAGGCGGTCTCTCAAGTATCCAAAGTGACAAAGTTGAATTTAGCTTCTTAAATTCCTGTCCATTCTAATGCTGCAAGTTTTAAAATCGATTTTGCCTTTGTATCTGTTCCTTTGTTCACTGTGCTGTCAGTGTGAAAAAATATAAATTATATGATATAGGGGATGTTATAAATATTGAACACATTTATCGCTACATATTAATGTTAAGTGCGTCATTAGGAAGCCAGTTAGTATGCTTTTTAAAAAAATTAATGCAAGGCCAGTTAAAATCTCTCCCTTCCCTGAAGCTGCTATTAATCTCAGAAAAAAATTGTCATTAGCAGTCATGCATCCTTTCTTTTCTCGGATGACAGCAATGTAGAAAAGATTATTTTCTTTGGGACGGAGTCATGGGAGAGAAAGAGTTAAAACTTTTCCTTTCCACATGCCACAGTTCCAATGGAAATCTTACTCCTGCTTCTGCTGTTAATAAGAATACAGTAAACCAATATTCTTCTAAAAGTGTTTTAAACTGTCTGTAGTCCTGAATGCACTGATATGGAAGTAAATATATTTCACTTTTTTCCAAGTATTTTAAAAGATAGCAATATATTCCCCCTCCGCTTCTGTCAAGAGCTGCTAAGATATCATATTCTTCCTCTTGCTTTCTCAGCCTTTGACAATATTTGCCCTCATGCAATGCATTACCGTACAAATTATTTCATTATTATTCCTCTTGATATATTGGAAGTTTAGGTATTTCCGTTAGCACATGTTTGAAACTATGAATGTGGATGTTTCTTCACAGAACCAAAGGTTTCATGTGCACAGATTCTACATTGCGGAATTATTCTATTATTTATAGAATAAATAAAAAAGCCATTAAGGTATGTGTGAGAAATATTCATATTAAGGTGGTTTCAGCAAAATAACAAGGCAGCTCATTTTTCAGAGCTTTGGAGTTGGTTTGCTTAACTGAAAACAACACCCATAGAGCCATTTCTTGTGACATTAGAAGTTTCTAATGCCTCACTTCCATGTGTGGAGGGTTGTAACAGCCAAAAAGCAGCTATGTGTGTTATTTTTGGTTTGAAATGGGTTTTATTTTTTTGCTTTACAGATGGTAAGATGTGAAAATAGATAGCTGTCATTTGGGTCAATCCTCACCCTGATGTTTTCTTTCCTATACCAGATAGCAAACTGGGGTTAAGAAGTGCCTATCTGCCTATTCTAATTGTAGATAATTAGAATTGGACAGAATGATGACCACTCTTCATTGTAAGGGTTTCATCACTGCAATCCATAACTTGTGTTGTTGCCAGCAAGGTATAGAACTCCTCATTCACTACTCTGTTTAAGACAGAGTTCCCCACATATATAAACAAAACTTACTAATACCGCTTTAATTCCATGAGTAAAAGAATGACAAACATAAAACCTTTGTTTATTTAAGTTAGGACAGTCTAGAACATGGCAGCAGTCCGGAATCTTCTATATGAAGTACTCTTCTTTTTCACGTTTATAGGGGAAGTCTTCCATTTGGACTGATCCCTCTGGATCTGCTTCAGGTTGTTCATAAGTGTGATAGTTGCCCTTATTTTTGTACAGGTAAATAACGATTATCACAACGACGGAAAGGAGAGTGAGAAAAACCACGGCGATAACAGCTTGGAACAAAATAGAGAAAGTAAACTGTTTAGAGCAGTTTAGAGCTTTTGAGCAGATCTAACAGAGCAAACAATTGTTAGTCTGAGAATAAGCTTCTATCTTACCTGCTTGTTCCTCTGTAGCACTGACCCCCACCCTTTCCCTTTACCATTTTATCTACCATTATAGTTGTTGCCAGAAAGGTAACAGTTGAAAACAAAAACATAAGAGTTCATTTAGGGGAGCTAATGTTAATAGTGGTTAGAACTATAGCAATCTGGGGACCCCAAAGCCTTTTAGGCTGAGTGCCTTTCTATCTATGACTCTAAATGGTAAAACAAGATTAAAAGAATTGAAGCAAAACAGCACTGAGTGATGGAAGAATTTGTGAAGGGAGGAACCTAACGCCCATTCCTTACAGTTTATTTAAAAGTAATTTATGCTCTTAGATCCGTCTTTCTCAAGCTCAGCAACTTTAAGCTATGTGGACTTCAACTCCCAGAATTCCCCATGCTTTAATATATGTATGCAAGATTTTAGACAACATGGGAATCGGATCAAAATCCTGCACATGCCTTGTGATCTACCTTGAGCTCCCACTGAAGGAGTGGACACACAGCGAATGGATCTCGTCAACAGTCTTGCTTGTTTTTCTGTTCTTGCGCCAACCTCGCCTTTGCCTACTAAGCCCTGCCAAGTCATATTCTTCCTGAATCTGCAAGCCTTCACTTTTCATATTTATGCACGGAAAGGTTATATAGTTTCCATAACAATACAAATGCTGAAATTGACAGGCTGCAGGATTCTGGCCCTCTTTTTAAGAATTGCAGCCCTGATTCGACAAGAGACTTAACTTCCTATCCTTTCGTGGGATGATAATGTGGCTCCTTCAGAGGTTATATGGAGAGCAGCAGAAGAGGCTTCTAATGTGACCATCCCTTGAATGAATTCTCTGCCCAGATCTGTATGCCTGATCCTCTACAAGCAGGCAGTATAGATACATTAAATGCGACAATATGGCTTGAAAACAGTGGTAGTCAAGGTTTCAGCGCTTGGGTAAAGAAGAGAAGGCTGTTGCATAATATCTCAATGTACTAGATGGGCGATATTGTTCCCCTCTAGAACTGCCTAACCATTTCTTTTGAGTCAAAATAGGCAACCCATACACAAGTGGCAGAAGCCTGCCTTTGAAGAGGGAAGTTGGATGATTTTAAGAAAAAAAAAAGCATAGAGCAAGGATGGAAATGGTCATTGCTCCTGGGATCATTACCCTCAAAAACGCTACCAAAAAGGAATGGTATGACACCTTGCATATCGGGAAATAAAATGTGCTAAGTGGGTAGTCTTAGCTAACCTCAAGGGATAAACAAGACCAGCATCATACTCTTGTCTTAGAATGCCCAAAAGTGTACATGCTGTACAGAGGTGGTATTCAGCCAGTTCTGAAAGGTTCTGGAAAACCGGTAGTGGAAATTTTGAGTACTTCGGGGAACCAGCAAATAGGCTGGCCCTGCCCCTACTACCTCCCAGCTGGTCTTCTTTTGTTGCCCTGAACAGGAGAACGGAGCTGGAAAGCAGGTTAGTGGGATTGGAGGGGAATGGGGATTTTGTAGTAACCTTCCTCTGCCATGCCCACAAAGCCACGCCCACAGAACCAGTAATAAAAAAATTTGAATCCCACCACTGACACTGTGCATGAATATGTACATGTGTACCGTGCACGTACTCATATNAAGCCCTCACTTAATGTTTTATTTCTACAAGTTTCATCCCCTTTTCATCAAAAGTATATGCCAACATTCACTTAAGAAACTTAAGTGAAACTAAAGTTTCTTACACTTAAGAAACTTAAGTGGCTGGTCCTTATGGGAATCTCAGTAAAACAACAACAACAACACACCTGCAGACAAGAAAAAGATTGGGGAAATTGGATAACCAGCACACTGTACGAAATTAGTGGTGTTTGTATTTTACATTCCTGTTAGTGTGCCTGGAGAGCGTGCTACGGAGCAGCAATTGCTCCATTTATGTGTAAACATATAGTTCAGACCATTTACACGATCCCAGATGTAGAAATAATTTTATTTTCTATTTTATTTTCAATTAATCCTGGGGTTCAATTGGTTCTCTAACCAGTTCTTACCTGATTGGAGCAATCCTGGTTGGTGGGAAAATAATATTGGCTTGAATTTCTTCCCCGGCTCCACTAGCAGAGATATTTCTTCTCTACTTTCTTCCTGTAGCTGCTTCCTAGCTTTCTAGTGAGTAGGCTGAGGCGTTCCCCTGCCCATCTCACCTTTCCAGTTTCACTACGTTGATAATAAACAGCCGAGTCATCAGAATGCTTATTCCTTAACTCTTTGTAATGCCGACGACAAGACAGACAAGGCCCATAATGTTCTTGTGTCACTTACTAATAAAGCAGGACAGTTTAGTTCAGCAGGAGGTGCTTTATACAAAGCTGCTGAGGTTGCCAAAATTAAAGATTGGGGTGATTCCTGCAAGCCAATATTTCTTATATAGTCCCAAACCACCTTTTTTTTCTGAAGTTATGTAATTTGTAGTCAGCAGAACATACAAAGTAGTACTAATGTTTTGGGGACCATTCAGCAGCTCTCCACAAAAAAATTCTTCTGAATGTACTATAGATGAGATCAATCTTCTCCAAATTAGTTTCTCCTCAAGTCAGCAAGAAATTATACCTCCAAAGATATAATAGAGCACCGCGTTGAAGGAATCAGATGCACGTGTTTGAATTTGAACTGCAGACGTATTTTATTATGTGTTTAGGCAGAAAAGAATTATGTTTTTATTAACTACTACAGGTACAGATATATTTACAATACCTCTCAAAAGGTATCCAAGCAATCAAGCTGGAGGAGATAGATTGATCAATGATTACCATCCATGATCATAATAAAATGCTTCAAGCCAGCAACAGATGAGAGCTGTAATCCTAATGCCTCATTTGTAGGTGTCCAAACCAGACATTTCTAGTTAAAACAGTGGTNAACGGCTAGGTTAGCAGGAGCTGGGGCAGGAAAGGGAGCTCTCTCTATCATGCGGTACTTGCTGTCAAACTGCCAGCCTTCTGGTTGACAAGCTTCACGACTTCCACCTCTCGGTCAGTGGTCATATTTTCTTGCAAAAATAAATAAATAAAGGGCCAATCCCCAAAAGGACTCACTGAATATTTAGGGGGTGAGGAAACGTCCGTTCTGGAGACAGCTATCAAAAGCGATCTAAGAGCATGTGGATTGACTATGACTGGGTTCATCCCAGACATTAACTGGGTCACACATTTAGCCCACTGTTTGAGCTCACACCCAAACTATACAATAAACGTCAGGGGCTAGATTGTCTTTACGGGTTAAGCCATGCACGCTTAGCCTGTTGTGCGAATGCAACCACTGCCCTAGTTAAGCGTGCTATGCGAAGCCAGCCTATAATAAATGACCCAGGGAGGGCAGAAGCATATAAGACACTAAGCCTATCTGTAGGCCTCTGCAGGGCTATTTTGGTTCAATGGTGGCTGGATCCAGTTTGGTGGGAAGTGGAGGCAGAGAAGAGCAGGAGGGAACATAGGAGTAAGAAGTAAGAAGCCTCACTTACCGCCGGGTCTTGTTTCCTCTTGTCCCCAAAACCTCAGAACTGCCGAGGGATCCTGTCGAGCCCCATCCAAGGCCTAGATTAGCCAGACAAATGCACACCAGAAGCCACACCTTCTGGTCCGGGCCTAGGAGAGAGGAGGGCAGGAAGTTAGGAGCAGGAAGATTGGAAAAACTGATCATCAGGCCGCTGCTGCAGAGCTTTAAGAAACAAACTGTGCTTGGTGTGTCATGAAAATAGCAAGACCACAAAGCTTCATTGGAAGTACCGATCTCGTAATATATCACAGGACAGCTTGAAAGGGGAACTAGCTTGAAAGGTCCTTTCAAAAGACATTGTATGTGAAATGGAATCTGGAATGGCAAGATTAGCTTCCTTCCATTCATCATTTATCCATGTTAATTTTTATTTCCATATTTCACATGTTTGAAAGGCATCCCCATATCTTAAAGTCTTAAAACTCATCACTTTTTAAAAATGATATATTAGAGAGTGTGAGTGTGTGCAACACGAGGCATACTCCCTTCTGTTGGACATTTTATCCAGCACCAATAACCACAATGAACCCAGAATAGTTTGTGATGCTACTTAATGGTCATTTTGGCATGGAAGACCATTTTTATTTTCTGAGATATTTTAAATGCAGTTTAAACAATGCTGTGCTGTAAGGAATAAATAGCCATATGCCTTCTAATGCTTCATTTAAGTATTACTTAATGTAATTACTTAAAATGCTTCATTTTGTTTACATTTTAGTTGTTTTATTCATTTTTGTGAAACACCATGAGAATACGATCAAGGGATGATTTAAATATACTAATACGGTAGTAAATTAATACAACATTCACAAGTTACTTTGATGAGAAGAATGGTTCGAAAGAACACATGAAGCCATTCTAAGAATTTCTGTAGCGTCAAGAGACAAAATCATATCCATAGACTATAAAAATGCATGCCAGTTTACGGTAATTATGCCATTGCTAATTGTAGCTAAAGAAAGCCACAAATGATATTTTTATCTTCCTGAAGAAGGCAGCCACTGATTCTGTGGCTTGGATCAGGATTTAAAGCTGCTATTGTTTGCTTTTAACACCACTGTTCCGTTAACTCTCCAGATTGGTAAAATGTGTCATCTCTTTTTATCTAGAAAATGACATGGACATTCTTCATCACCTCTGAGATCGTGTCTTATGAAGTGAATGACATAAGAGAGAGGGTGGACATGAAACCTTGGGAAATAAACAATGCATTAAAGTCCAGTGAACAATGAAATCTAAAAGAATCTTAAAATAGAGTATTAGTATTAATAAAAGAAAACCAAAGAAAATTGGTCTATAATATTTTACAAGTTATATGTAAGGCATATAATCAAGTTGTTTCATGTTGTGCAAGGAAAATTTATTCTTCGGTACAGAAATCTTGTTCACAGGAAAAATGCATATTATGCTCATTCAGTCTTCAGGCCCTTCCTACCAAAATCAGGAGATTACTGATTGCTTTTTACATGCATGATTGATGCATGATCTATTTAAGTTATACTATCGCAGATATAACCCTCATCACCTAGTAAGAAATTACACTCCCGTCTGAGAAAAACCACAGTGCAAATTTAAACTGGTTATTCATTTTTTATTAGCGGTATATATTAATTTTCCTTTATACTTATCCTAATATTTGACCAATAATGCCCTTAGTATTCCTCAAAACAATTCTCATTGTGTAGAGTGTAGAGTTGCACATCTTTGAGGAATTAGATACACTTTTTACTGTGCTATTGGATTTCAGATTGTCTGGTAAAAATATAAGTCACATATTTCATAAATGAAGAACAATGTGCCAGCTGCCATTCTGTTTCGGCTGCTAGATTACAAACATCTGGAGTCAAGAGTCCTCTGCTCTGCTACTTAAAGATTGGTGCTACTAAGTGTTCTTATCACTTAGTGTTCTGTATTAAGAACAGAAAAATATGGAAGACAAATTAAGTTTGGAAACAATCATCCTCCCACCCTATCCTTGATTGAGATTGTGAAATTATAGTCTCATCTAGAAGCAGAGCAATCCACCATTCCCAGTGGTAGGAGGAGGAACTGCTACTCAAGACTAGTTGAGACTTTACCACACATAAATGTTTCCAGTCCTATCATTGTCCCCTCCTGTTAAGCTTCTGGACTAGTCACCTTCTGAATATCATTCTTGGGATATCCTGCATAGGCAATTCGTAAGAAAACAAGAGAGAGACATTTTGATATAATGGTTAAGGCTCCAGGCTGGAAACCAGGAAGTCATGAATTCTAGTCCTACTTTAGGCACCAGTCTCTCTCAGCTTTAGGAAGGAGGCAATGGCAAGTCACTTCTGAAATCTTGCCAAGAAAACTGCAGCGATTTATCCAGGTAGTTGCCAGGAGTCAACACTGACTGGAAGGCACACAGACACATACACATGCAAAAAACTAAACAATCTGGAGAGCTTTATATCTTAGAGACAACAAGCATGCTGCTCCATTTGTAAATTAAGATGCAAGGGATGGTCATTTGGATTTGGATTGGATTTATTACATTTATATGCCGCCCTTTTCCCCGAAGGGGACTCAGGGCGGCTCACAATTCAGTCAGGGAAAGNGAATTGCTCAATTCTCTCAAAGAGTGGACTTCTTATTAGCAAAGAAAGAAATTACACTAGAAATAGTAGAAATGATAACGTTTGTCTGCCTTTCAAATAACTTTGGGATGCTGAAGCATACTGTGACATTTATTGCTAATTGTTATAGCTACTTGCCAAAGAAGGAACAGTGGGATGGCTATTATCTTAAGATCATGCACTACTTTCAACATGGATGGTACCAGAACTGAATAGAGATTGACATTCTAGTATTGTTTCAGGAATACTGTGACAGAGTTCTGAGATTTTTGTCATTGCAATGCACAAAGAAATGTGCTGGATAGCTATAGATTCGTCCAGTGGAATAATTGTCTTATATAAATCAGCCCTGAATCAGTGACTAGATTTGCACACTGCAGTAAGTCAATGCTTCTCAACCTTAACATGTATGGATTTCAACTGCCAGAACTGAATGAATTGAAGTCCAGACATCTTTAAATCCATCAGATTGAGAAACCCTGCACTAAGCCATTATCTGATTTACTTGGTTTCCATTTTGGCAACCCTAACCCTAATCCTAACAGCAGCAGTGATTTGCAAACCAGCCTTATTATGAACATAGCCTGTTTTGCCTCAGTCAAGAAACTATGATTAAAAATCATGGCTCAGAACGGGGTGATAATCTAATAATTTATGTATGAATCAAGTCTAGTGAGAACAGAGGAAATACCAACTAAATGGGCTACAATCAGTATAAAGTATGAGACCTCCCTTCCCATGGCTGTTTCAGCAGCAAAGAACTTGACAGAAACACTGCTTCCTTATGTTTTCAAAGATAAAAGAGGAAGGAAATTGACCAAAACCAAGCATTTCTCTAAATATTTTTACACATGGAAACATCTACATTCTTATCATTCAAGGAAGAGGCTCACAATTTACGCTAAACAATAATGTAGCTTCCTTGATCTGGATTTCTAGTAGAAGCCATGGTGGTAACCAAAATGTGAAGTAAGCCATTGTACAAATGTTGTGAATTACATACTGGTATACTGCAAAATGTCCACAGAATGTAATTTGTGACCTTTAGGTGCTGATAGTAAAGNAAGCCACGCCCACAGAACCAGTAATAAAAAAATTTGAATCCCACCACTGACACTGTGCATGAATATGTACATGTGTACCGTGCACGTACTCATATACAATACTAATAAAAGTGCAGCCACTGGCTGAAAAAAAAATCTGCCCTTGTGCCAAAGATACTCAGGTCTGATCTGGGAATGCCTCCTAATACATAGGATACAGTGGCACTTTTATCACTTGCCATTCTATGCTGCTGGCTTTACCATTAGTGCTTTGGAGCTACGTTGGAGCGCACCCCATAGATAACTCTGGAAATATCATGGATAATACCTCCTATAACAGCCATATTGGCATCCTCTGGGGATGTAGGCGTGTTCATCTTCTTCATGAACGGACTGGTCAGCATCCCTTCATGGAAGAGAAAAGAGGGAGACGTCAATATAGCAGCAGAGGGTGCACTTGATTTGAACCAGGAAGTCCACACTCAAATTCCTTTCTATCATGAAAATGGAAGAGGGAAAGGATGACGTTGCAACAGACTCCCCCTGCCTGTCCCCACAACTTTCAGGTTAACCTACTTTCCAGAGCTATACTGACAAGAACAGCAGGAAGGCGCAATGATTTCCTTGGAGAAGGAATGAGAATATATACACTGTTCTAACACATATACTACATCTTCCAGAAGTAGGCATGCATGCATCCTGCACATGCGCGTGCGCACACGCACGCACGCACACACACACACACACACACACACACACAGACTTCTTTTCTAGGGGAAAAAAAGTGTATGCTAAATAAGATGAAATGTTGAGGCATAATATGCAGCAACAATTGCAAGGTGAGAGCTTAAAATGATTAGGGACAAGTACCTTTTTAAAAAAATAACTGGCCAAATTGCAAGGGGAAGAAAAGTGCCGCTGAAGCTGCTGGAAGAGTTGCTCAATAAAAGCCTTCAACCCTTGGCTCCAGTTACAAAGCAGAAACAGGTCTGTTCTGTAGTGTTTCAGGGCTTAGGTAATCAGGCTTACTCAGTGAATATCTAATAATGTACAACAGTGGAAGTGCCAGCAGGAACAAATGTTCTGCCAGCAGCTCATTTCTAAAGATTTCTCAGACTTGCCAGCTATTCGGGAGCCAAACTCTTTACAAGAATGTATGACATCGAGGGATCTTATCATAAAGGCCTCTGAGCCAGACCAAAGTTTTCCAGGCTGCAGATAACAACCTATTCCTTCCAAACTGTGGCCGAGTCCAAGGCATCCAACCATATACACACCTCACCCTTTCCTCCCATTTCCCCTGCTGCAAAATTGAATTATATTTGTGAAGCATTAAATTATACCCTCTCCATCCTGTCAAAATCATCAGAAGGCACAAACGAAAACATTATGCATGACAGCAACCTATCTAATGTCTGGTTAGCTAAAATTGATGTGTGGAATTATGCCTTTTGATCCTGTCCCTTGCAAAGGTCCCTTTCTAGATTATCCAGCATTTTCACCTGGGCAGAAATGAACATCTGTTTAACAATACACAATGCTTAGACTATGTATGTACAACATGCTAAGCTAGCATTTGTTTCACTTGATTACTTTTTTAACTAGGTGAAGTTTATATCCAATTTAAGCTGTAACCCATAGTTTATAAATCACACTGACCAGTTTTAAAACAATACAAATAAGCAAACCTAATTTTGACTTGAAATCTGTCTTGGAAGCAGTCTTGGTTTGGCATCATATGCTAAGCAACAATGTAGTAATCTGTTTAATTGGATCAGTTTATATTCAGTCATATATTCAGTAAACAATAGTCATGCCAACAATGGTTCAGCATGATGTGAAAACCTAGGTTGTTTAAGAAACATTTATTTCCAAATAAATAGGCTGCTCTGAAGAACTCTGAGCTTTTCCTGAGACATTAGAATGATTGCAAACATGCTACAACATTACAGCCAGTTCAGCCAGTAATTGTTTGGAGAAAGTTAAATGGAATTAGAGAAGAAGCAAAAAGGGGAAAAAAGCAGAATGAATAGATGTGTTCCTATGCATGCAAAGCTCACAATCTTTATTACATTTCTCTCTCNGGAACAACTAGCACATATGTGCGAGGGGAACCTTTCCCTTATATGAAATACTTTTTATTTATTTATTTTATCAACACTGTTATTTTATAGCTGGCCCCAGTTTTTACTTTGCTTTTGTTACTGGGTAAATACTGCATTTTTTCAATATCATATATTCCCCATGGATATTATTACATCACCCTACATATTTTTCAATATGTTGGGTGACAATATAATCTAGGGATCTGTCCTTCCAAGAACTGTCCAAATCCTGGTTTTCTTTTCCTTCTCTCTTGCTACTAAGCAGAGATCTGCTTAGAGAGATCTGGCTTTACTTAGCTGTTTCCCTCATTGACTTTCCCTTCTCTTTTCTCTATAGTGGACAGAGACTTACTTTCTTAGCAAAAAAAATATATATCTACTTTGTGTGCACACTCCTCCCTGTTAGGCAGAGATACCCTCATACAGGGTGAACAGAATTGGTGTTCTTCTTCAACTCTACTGCTTTCCCTCCCTCTAGCAGCCCAGCTACGTGGCTCATCTTTCTGGACCAAGAGTTGCCTTCCTATTGCCTCTGCTCAGAAGCTCAGGCATTGCCTCAACCTCATAAGAACTGAGAAGGAGTGAGAAACATTAAAGCAGATAAATATCATAAATGTGTCTATCAATCCCATGTAGGAGGTTGCAGAGGGCAACCAGCCCTCTAGCTGGATCTTCTGGAGTTGTAGTTCAATATGACATGGGAGAACTAAGGGATGCCCACTTCTAAGTTACAGCCTTCTTTGTGCAATGTATTTCAAATTGTCATGGCAAGCAAGTCCTCAGATGTTACCTCTGCTTGAATGTCTGATATCACAAGTATGATATCTCCTTCTCCAAACTGAAGGTGATTGTCATCTTCTGAAGCATGAGCTTGAGTTGCTTGAGCCTGAAACATAAAATGCGAAAATAATAAAATAGGGCAGGTAGAAAGGGCATCTCAGCTCTTCATCCATCCATCCCACTTCTGAATTGACTACTACAGAAAAGGCTGAAAAAATAATATTTAAAGTAAAATTTAAAAAAGTCAGCAATGGTCTCAGTGGACGAGGCTTGGAATTAACACTCTCCCTTAATTCATATCTGGGTTTTTATGACCCATTATCTGGGGAAGCCTAAAAGCCAGCTCCTTGATTGCTGCATCTTACCTTGAATAGGAATCCCAAGGGTAGCTTGTTCTCATTTTCTTCTTTAGCTTCTGGGAAAAAACTAGCAATGATCTGAAGCAAAAAGACCATATGGTTATTTAAGGGACAGGGAAAAAGATATTGCCCAGGTATAAGGAGATCGGGAATCAGATCCCTGATCTTCAGATCCCTGATCTTCAGATCCCTGGGGAGTGATGAGGTAGCAGTCTTTTACAATTAAAAACTTTCAACAGACGACCCGAAGGTGCTTTTTCAATAGGCAACTGGACTTTCTGTTTTTTTCTTTGAAAACGTTTCACTTCTCATCCAAGAAGCCCAGAAAGTCCAGTTGCCTCTTGAAAAAGCACTTTTGGGACAACCATGACTTGGATGACTTAGAACAGGGGTCACCAACCTTTTGGACCTCAGGGACCACTATGTTAATAATTTTAAATCCTGCGGACCACTAATATGAATCTAGTGCGCCACTCGCTGAAGTGCCTGGACTCCCTGTGACGGGATGGGGTCCTTCAGGCATTTAGCTTGGCCACCTGTTTCTGCAACCTTAAACCCTCAAAGAGCCATTTGGACCCATTTCCCACAGAAAACAAAACACCACAATCTCTCCTCCCTCCACCCCCCTGTCTCAGACCTTAGTGGTCCGCGGACCACCAGTTGGTGACCTCTGACTTAAAATCTCCATAGACAAAATTCAGATGAGGGTCTCCCCTGTTATTAATCCATATAGCTTGGTTGTTTTTTGCTTCCTATGCTGTATTGTTAGCCTCTCAAGTAGACTAGTCAGGAAACACAAGGAGAGGAAATAATCCTTCTTTATTGTAAAGTTACATTAACAGACTCCTGTAAGTCTTGAAGTACAAATCTCCCGCTCTCACTTTTAACATTCTGATCAATTAGGGTGGATCCTTCCTAAGTTTCTTTCTCTGACTGCTAAGCCACTGGTACTTCCTGTCCTTTTGTCTGATCATTTTCAGCTTCTCTTCCCCTCATGCCTCAAGGTCATTCTCACCTAGAGCTATTCGTTATGGATTACCATTATAAACTAGGCCAGTAAATTGAACAGATTATAGTTAAAAGCTCTATCGTTATGCAATCGCAGCTTTGTGCCTGAAGGAAATGGAAAGGAGAGATGACTATTACTAGGGGCAGGGGATTCCTTTCTTAGGAAACTTCCAAAAATACCTGCTTAAAAATTCAAAGCGTCTTTTTACATTCAACTAGAGATGAGGTGAAAAAAGACTTAATTATTACAAAAGAAGTTTCTCACTAAGTAAAGACTGTAATGCCTCTAATGAAACCAACATGATAGCCCAAATTCTTTAGAATCCATTTGTTTTAGCCCCTTATGATTCTGGCTGTCTAATTTCTTGTTAGAGTCAGACACTGCAGTGTGTATATTAATTGTGTGATAATTTAGTCATCAGCAGCATGCAGAAATAGACCTACTCCCTCACAGAGAGAGAATGGCATGAATTAGCTAACTCAGCTCGTTCTGTTTGAGCCATTGGGATTTAAAAAAAATATATTACCAGTTCTATAGGTGTGGCTTGGTATGTGTGGTGTGGCTTGGTGTACGTGGCATTGCAGGGGAAAGATACTGTAAAATCTCTATTCCCTTCCCACTCCAGGGAAAATTTACTGCAAAATCCCCATTCCCTCCCAATGACTCAGGAGGCAGAGAATAGATGGGGACGGGGCCAGTCAGAAGTGGGATTTACCGGTTCTCCGAACTACTCAAAATTTCCGCTACCGGTTCTCCAGAACTGTTCAGAACCTGCTGAATACCACCTCTGCTCTCAGCTATTATACTTCCTATGTTAGAAGGCAAACTTTTGCAGTGGGAAACTTACTTGCATATGCAAAGACCCCTTCTGTGGATACGTTTATCTCCAGTATATGAGAGATGTTAAGATTGTCATTATTCCAACAAAATCAAGGGATTCAGTATAATTTCTGATCAGGTAGGTCTCGATTAGTGCAGTTAATGTATCCCAAGAAATGATTGCGCTATTTGAATTCACACAACTCAAAGTCACATTTCGGTGGAAAACACTGCAGTTGGCATCTTCAAAAATACACTTGCTTTGCATACTTATTTTTCTAATTATTTTTTGTAAAGTGTGTATTTACTGCTTTACAGCTGTTAGAAATCTATAAATACACATACCGTGTTTCCCTGAAAATAAGGCAGGGTCTTATTTTCTTTTGATCCCCGAAATAAGCACTTAGCCTTATTTTCGGGGAGTTCTTTATATTTTTGAGGTGCAGGAGGTGTGAGCATGGTCCTCTCATGGCTGCTGCTGCGTTGCAATATTTTTGGGGAGGGATTATTAATGGGGGAGGGCTTATTTTCAGGAAAACAATGTACATACATACATACAGTAAAAGAGTGGTGAGAACTTTGATTTTGGAAAGCTACAGACTAAAGACATTTAAAATAAGAATTTGGGATTATGTAGAATTGTTGGCATTGGAAAATGCTTTTGTTTTGAATCTTCTTAAAAAAAAACAGGATGAAACTTGAAAGGGAGACATTAGAAGGAACCAGAAGGGACTAAAGATTTCAATTAAAGGAGAACTCTTGTATTTGAATTACTAATACAGCATGAAACAAAATATTTAAACATTGGACATATTGGAGGATATTTTTAAACAATGGATCCAGAAGTTCATTTTAAGAGTGTCTAGCTCTATAGATAAGGGATGCAGTGGCTCAGTGGCTAAGATGCTGAGCTTGTTGATTAGAAGGTCGACAGTTCAGCGGTTCAAATCCCTAGCACAGCATAGCAGAGTGAGCTCCCCTAATTTGTGCCAGCTTCTGCCAACCTATAGCAGTTCAAAAGCATGTAAAATGCAAGTAGAAAAATAGGGATCACTTTGGTGGGAAGATAACAGTACTCTGTGTGCCTTTGGTCAGGGGTGGGTTGCACACGCAATTTTGCTCCGTGCACATGCATAGTTGCCTGTTATGGCCCAGCAGGATCTGGTTGAGCTGCTGATGGACTCGGATAGTGAGGAATCATATGAGTCTGTCCTGGATGATGTGGAGGACCCTGTGCAGGGTTCAGACTTAGAGCAGGGACCAGAGAGGCTGGTTAGCCTCCAGGAGGCGCCTGAGTCATGGAGCAGGGGGGAGGATCAAAGGCAGTTTGTCCCTGATGCTAGATTGAGAAGGGCTGATAAACAGAAGCAGCAACTCCGTGGGCAGACTCACAGAAGATGATTAAGCGCAGGTAGTTGTTGATTGGCCCCTTCCAAGAGAGATTATAGGTGAGGCGTTGGGAGGGGACATTTGCAGGAAACAACCTTTCAAATTAGTAGTTAAGAAAATCTATCTGTGTACTCTAGTCATGCCTGTTCGCTTGGACTATCTGCGTTGCTTCGTTTGAACTATCTGAGTTGCTGCAGAGCTACTCTATTGAACGTGAGTTGCCTGGGCCCTCAGCCAAAGGATTCATTATCTCAGTAATTGAACAGTGGCAAACAGCCAAGCTTGTGTTCTGGTTTATTCACAGGCTGGGGGGTCAGAACAGTTGCCTATAAATAGGTCTGTGCATGTGCAGAAAAAAATGCAAATGAAAAAAAATGCCGCGCTGACCAGGGAACCAATTTGGAGGCATGGCACGCCTGGGTCGCTGCTGGTTCCAGTGATCCAGGCCAGCATACCGCTACCGGTTCAGCTGAACTGGTCTGAACTAGTAGGAACCCACCTCTGCCTTCAGTGTTTAGTCATGCCGGCCACATGACTATGGAGACATCTTTGGACAGCGCTGGCTCCTCAGCTTAGAAACGGAGATGAGCCCCTTAGAGCCGGAAATGACTAGCATGCATGTGCAGGGGAACCTTTACCTTTACCTCTATAGATAGACTACGTTTAAAAGATGTTACGAAAGAGGCACAATTTTACCAGACAAGATTGTTCTGAAACTGAGTTTAAAATGACAGGCTACAATAATGATATGAACAAAGATGCTACACTGGACATACAAAAGAAATTGGCTGATATCTTAATAATTAAAAGGGGTGTACAGATAACCATAGAGTGACCTGGATAATTTTCCAATGTTCCAATGTTTTCCATCCACAAAAGACTTCGAATGTTTTTTTGAGAAGGGACAAAAAATGAAAAAGAAATGTTTTAGAGGCTTATTTGAAGGAACTAAAATTCAAGATAGTTAAAAAGAAAAGGAAAAAAAAATATAAAGTTGGTTTATTTGATTTATTAAAATTAAAATAGATTTTTTTTTAACTTCTTGTAAACCTTAGTGGATTTTTGCTGATCAAGATTGAATGATGAGGCTTAAAGGATTTCTTATACAATGAGGATATGAGAAGAGATCATTTGTTTTATTTTAAGTTGATATGTCACTCTCTAAGTGGGATGGATGCTTTCTAAATTTGATAAATAAACAAATAAGTTACTAAAACTGTATTTCTTATAATGAATGGGAATCATTTCTTTTTAAAATTACTTTTCTTTTTTATTGTGTTCTCATTTTTTCTTTCATTTTGTATTTTTTTGTTTTTGTTTTCTGCACTTTATTTTTTCTTATTCTTTTAGTTTTCTTGGTTTATATTAGTTTTATCTTTGAACTTGTAATTTTTTAATAAGATTACTATTTTAAAAAAGATGACAGGGGATATGATATAGTATGTTAGGACTCTGGAGCTCCTTCTTTAAAACTATTTGTATTCTACTTTTTCCCACATTATCATCCTGACACCAAGACAAAATTCTTCTACATGGGTAAACCTTTAGCAAATACAGGGGTTTATCAAAGACCATCATTTCTTTGATATTGTTATTATTTTAAAGGGAGTTCATAATTCTTTTAAGGATTCATCAGCCTCCTAGACTATTGTAGTAGAAAATGTGAATGGCAAATGTTCAAAATATTCATAGGAGTGCTAGTGAAAAGCTTAATTAAAGTATAGTAAAAGTTAAAAGTCCAGAGGAGTGTTTAAAATGTCAAATTTTTTTTACTACCGATTCTGTGGGTGTGGTGTGGCTTGATGGGCGTGGCTTGGTGGGCATGGCAGGGGAAGGAGACTGCAAAATCTCCATTTCCTTCCCACCCCACTCTGGGGGAAAGATACTATAAAATCTCTATTTCCACCCCACTCCAGGGGAAGGATATTGTAAAATTCCCATTCCCTCCCCACCCCTATAACCTGCTTTCCAGCTCTGTTCTCCTGTGCAGGGCAATAGAAGAAGACCCAGCAGATCAACTGGGACTTGGGAGGCAGTGAATACATGGGCGCGGAGCCAGCCAGAAGGGGTATTTGCCGGTTCTCTGAACTACTCAAAATTTTCACTACTGGTTCGCCAGAATCGATTAGAACTGACTGAATACAATCTCTGATACCATGTTTCAAACTGGATCTTTGGGGAGGGGCATTTTTTTCTACTTCTTTCATTAGATAGATAATAGATAGATAGATCTAGATGGAAGATATATAATTTTTTTAAACAAGGTTAAAAACAAGGCAAATTTTGGAGAAGAAATAAAGAAAAAACAGTGAAAAAATAAATAAAACAAGAAACAAGAAGAAAACATTACAAGGCAGTGTCTTCCAACATTCTTAGCAGTTATAAATTCACTTACATTTTACCCTTTCTCTCTAAGTTTACATCCTATTTTCCTTATTTACACAGTTTAACCTTTTTAATCATCAAAATTACAAGTTCATTTTTTCTCTCTTCAGCAAAAAGTTAGTATAAGAAGTTTCCAGTTGCTAATAAATGAGGTTGTTGTCCTTTCCCTAATTAGACAAGATAACATTGTCATTTCTGCTAGTTCTGTCACCTTCACTAACTATTCCTCTATATGTTTCAGAGTCTTTCCAGTTTTATGTGAACAATAACCTTGCAGCAGTTAACATATACAAAAACAATGGTCTGTGACTCATTTCTAATTGTCTATCCATTAATCCCAGCAAGAAAAGTTCTGGTTTCAATTGAAAGTTGATTTTATTTTTTTGTATCACTGGGTGTATCTGAACCCAAAATTTCCCAGGTTTTTATTAGTCCACTAAGTATAATAAAATGATTTCACATTGCCCACATTTCCAGCATATTCATTTCTTATGCTCCAACTACAGAAACCTCATTAAGGGGGAAAAAAAGCTGCACATTGTTTTTCCAATGGCTAGAAGCCATCTATCTCTTTGTTATTCTCCACTCCTTTCTGTCCATTCATTTTTGCTTTGGGCCTGACACAGCTCTGAGCTTCAGCAGCCAAGAGGTCAAATACCAGTCCTATGTGGAAGAATGGAAGGCTTTTGAGATACCCCAAGTCCTTTGAAGATATCAAAAGCACAATGTGAATTTGAAAGATTGACATGATTGTTTGAAGCAGCAGATTTAGTACACTAAAGCTCTGTGGTTTTAGGAAACTAGTTGGTTTTCCTCATGGGATGTAATGGTCCCTTTAAAAAAATATGTCGGTCATGCCTTCCAACAGCACCAAGCCTTGGGCTTTTGAAAAACATGTGCTGCTAAACATGGAGGTAAATTTGGCAGGCAAAGATGGCCTTGAGAAATCTCACTTTAAAGAAAGAACGGAGCATAATCAGATGAGTAGGAAAAGCAGACCACTGTAAGAAGCTGAGCAATCTCTTGCAGAGCCTACCAGCCCAGGAAAAATAATAGTTGAACTAGATGAGTCCTTGGTGTGATCTGAAGAGGGGTGTGTGTGTGTGTGCAAGAGAGAGATGTTGATCTGGAGTGCTATGGTCCATAGGGGGTCACAAAAAGTCAGACACAATTTAGCATCTGAACAACAACAACAATAACAATGTATTTCTGCAGTGAGGTTCTCCTGGCAAGCGATGAGCTGTCATCATGAGTGTTGGCAAGAATGCGTTGGCAAGGATGCGCTTGGCTTGAAAAATTGAATGTGTTTGGGTTTTAAAATGCAGAGGAAGCCCCAGAAAAGAGTGCAATGCCAAGGATTGGGAATGAAACTAGGAATGACACACCAGAGATGGAGACATCCAGTTCTATAATAAGTAGACAAATACAGGAAAAAATAGATCAAGTTATACTATATGACATAAGGTTTTCACTGCCTCCATGCCAATACATGGGATATTGGGAACAAACAATAAGGCATCTTAATGTGGGAGGACAAAGATGATTTTGTAACCATTCCTGAAATGTAGAAGTAAACTCCTGAGTAGAATTCAGGGACTAAATGATGTAACTTAATTGAAAGGTTAGGGCACACTGTAGAGCAGGATTGTATGTGAAGGAGGTAGACATAGATATGGAGATCCGGGAATTTAAACATGGATCCAGTTAAGAGCATTTGAGTAAGAATACCAGGAAGAAGAAACAATAACCAAGCAGCAAGCCAGGCAGAAGATTTTCATAATCTTCCCTCCTGGACTGATGACAGAACTTCCAGGGAAGAGAGATATACGAAGAATGGGAAATTTCAACTCATTGGATTTCTGCTGGAAAGGAAATTCAACCCAGACTTCAAGGTCCTTCAGAGAACTTGTTGACTATCTCATTTCCTAGACAGCTGGAGAAGACCCAAGGGAATGGAATCCCTAGGTCTTTCCTAACCAACAGAAAAATAAAATAAAATAAAGTATTTGGAGCCTTGGGAGGAAATGACCATGTCATCTTGCATTTAAGGAGTCTAGGTAAAGATAAAGGTTCCCCTTGCACATATGTACTAGTCGTTCCCAACTCTAGTGGGTAGTGCTCATCTCTGTTTCAAAGCTGAAGAGCCAGCGCTGTCCAAAGACATCTCCATGGTCATGTGGCCGGCACGACTAAACATCAAAGGTGCACAGAACGCTGTTACCTTCCCACCAAAGGTGGTCCCTATTTTCCTACTTGCATTTTTACATGCTTTCGAACTGCTAGGTTGGCAGAAACTGGGAAAAATAACAGGAACTCACTCCATTACATTGGCACTAGGGATTTGAACCACTGAACTGCCAACCTTTCTGATCGACAAGTTCAGCATCTTAGCCACAGAGCCACCATCCCCTCTTTAAAGGGTCCACATAAAGTGAAATTGGAGCATAGTCGTACATACAAACTAAATTTCAGAGGAGACAACTTCAAACTAGTTTAGAGAGGTACTAAGTGGGATCTCACATATCAAAATCCTCAGGTCAAAGGGAGGGTGAGAAAGTTGGGAACTTCTCATATGATATGTTCCTGGAAATGCAATTATTTCCTGTACCAATCTCAATGAGAAAAATTGGAGGAAGCTAAGGAAACCATTATGGATGTTTAGGAAGCTTTTGATCAAGCTAAGAGGGTATGCATAGGAAATGGTTGATAATTTAATGACCAAGAAAGTTAATGTCTGCAGACACAGAAATGCAAGGAACAGATTTTGGGCTATGTACTACTATGAGGAAGAATAAAGGATGGGCCTATTGCTTAAAGAAGATAGGATATTAACTGGTGACCAAAAGAATTGTGAGAAAGTGTTATGTATGCAAGTTTTTTGATACATATATAATAAAAATAATTGTGTCTCAGTTTTCCTGCCTTCTTGTTCTTTGTGGTTAAACAAAGAGCTGGACAGCCAGTGGCATTTAATTTTTCTCTTGATTTTTTCATGTCCATCCCCTACAAACCGATGGGTCTAATATGCAAAATATCATATTGTTATTCATCTGAATTACTTACAGAGGAGAAGCATCCTTGCATTGTTGCAACACTTAATTTAGATACCCTGCTGGAATATTTCAGCTACAGCAGTTTTTCTTTTTTAAATGTCTAATTAGCAATTGGAAAAGGGGACTGTGAGGTTTCTTTTCATGGCTTACCTGAGAATTGGTACCCTTGGGGGAAATCTCAATTTCTTCCATGCTTCCTTCACTGCTACTGTTATCATCTTCTACATCTCTGCAGCTGTGGCTAATTTCATCTGTCTCAGTATTGGGTGGAGCAGATTCATCAGTTGCAGATGGGACTTCTTCTGAGTCTCCTTCCTCTTTGGTTGAAGAGGGAAGACCTTGGGGATCATCTTCAGGGCAAGAAGAACTCTCCTCAGGTGGCCCTTTGTGGTTCCGACCATTCGCTTTCTCAATCTGTATCTCACCCTGGATCTCTTTGGCAAGCTCAAGATCGGGTTTCAGTAGAGTTGGAATTTCATCCTTTGCCTGGGGTGAGGAACCATCCCCTGTTCCAGGTGTATCATTGGCTTCAATGTTTTTCTCCAAGAAGGGCTGTTGTTCAGGATCTTTGGAATCTGTAGAAAGGCTCTGCCTCTTGTCAGCAGCTTCAACCATTGCCTGTGATAAAATCTCAGCTGCAAGGTTCTTTGCCACTGCCTCAAGGGTCCTGCCGGAAGCAGCCTCAAGCTCTTCCAGTTGGGTCTCTTGGCATTTGCCTTCTGTTCCACTAGCAGCCTGAGAGCCTGACTCGGCACCCTGGCCAGCCTCATTTGGCAATCCTTTGACCTCTTCTTTTGCTTCTTCATCATATACAGTTGTGGATGCCACCTTGGTGGCTGAAATAGTTTCTGTTTCTTCATTTGGGGCAAGGAGAGATGTGGAGATCTCATTTATGCTATTCTCTGCTAGTAGAAAAGAGTTGCTAGTTGGGCTTACTGGGGATGAAATAACCAAAGAGCCTCTGTTGCTGCAGTGGGAGGGAAAAAACAAACATTAGCCAGTCTTAGAATATTTGAATATGCAACCTCCAACAATCCAACATTTAATTAGTTCAACATTCCCCAGCTGGGCAGCCTTCATATATTTTGAGATTACAAGTCCAAGAATCTTCATCTGGAATTCACTTTGCCCTTCCGGTTAAGAATTTGAGGAGTTGCAGCCTCAACCCATTTGAGAATCAAAGCCTTCTTTAGACATTTATACTCAAATGAAGGCCACATGTAGGCATTTCAAATGCCAAATAAAAGAATTGTAAAAGCATTATCATACTTTAAAACAACAGAAAACTACACAGTCAGTTCTGAACAGCTGTATGACTTAATTAATTTTTGCGGTTCAGTTGGAAACGGCTGGGAGAACATGTGGTTTGAAGGCTATTCCTCATTAAAGCTCACCTCACGATGCCCTTCAGACAGGGGTGGGATTTTACCTGTTCAGACCAGTTCGGGCGAACGAACCAGTAACTCCGACGATCAGCTGGGAGCGAACTGGTTCGCTCCAACGATCAGGTGGGCCCGCCCACCCACCCACCCGCCCCTGCACTTTACTGACCTATATTTTCTCAGCTGATTCACGCGGCAGAATGGATT